CCCTGTCTGAAACAGTAAACGCGTGTTGAAGTATTTATATGGAATAAAACAAACCCTGTCTGAAACAGTAAACGCGTGTTGAAATATTTATATGGAATAAAACAAAGACAAAATATTCTGAATGGTTAACACGTGTTGATGAGGTATTTATGTGCAATAAGACCTTAGTTATCTGTGGATGTTTTATAATAAAGCACATGAAAATACTGTTACTTTGTGTTTCTTTAAGTGTGGCTCTACTGTTCATAAATTTTCCCCTTTTTCACACCTTTAAGGATGTGGTTTCGCATCCTCTCAGTAACTAGTAGTGCGTTTGTTAAGTTCACATCGTAGTCTCAGCTTTTTTCTTAGAGTCTAAAATGTTAGTACAAAAAACAGAAAGATGTATGCTTCTAAGATTTTATAAAAACAAAACAAAAACTAATATAATTCGTTTTTACAGATAGACAACTCAATAGTTTGATGATGATTCATAATGTACAGCCTGTTGGCAGAGAAACTAGATGCCGATCTTCATGTCCTTACTCTGTTTTTAGTGGCTCGAAATGTCGTCTTTCTACAAATTGTCCATTAAGGGATTTTCATAAATTCGTTAGCATCTGCTAATCCCAACGTTAAAAGATTTACGTAGTTACAATTAGCCGACTATGTTACTGGATTAAAACATCGATTATTTACCAGTAACATTAGTTTGAGTCTAATGAAAAACTATTTTTCACAATAGAACTGTGTTCTTTTTTTGCACGCCGTTTGCTTATGTTACTTTTATACATTTTCTTTACCTGTTTTAAACTAACCTTTTAACTATTTATCACAATATAACTGTGTTGTTTTTGCACGCCGTTTGCTTATGTTACTTTTTATACGTTTTCTTTACCCGTTTTAACCTAACCTTCTAACTACGATTCATGTTTAGAAACATCAATACTGAAGAAAAGGCTTCTAGAAGACTTCTACCAAATTAATGGAGCATTTCTGGGAGAAACTCGTATAATTTCAAGCCATACAATAATTAGCAAAACTATACAGCATTTGGTTCAAATATATTAAGTAGAGGTTATTTAGATGTTTTAATTTGTTTGTTCACAAGATAACTATTACCACAGCTGAAAAGAGCATGCTAAATGATCAAAACATAAAACTGTAACATAGATACTTGAGCGCTCTTACACAAACGTTATATTCGCGTGTTAAACATTACAATCATCGGTGGATAAACTTATCGTCAGTTGAGCAACAGCCAGTGGAAATGCCACTATGACATTTAATTGAGATAATTAAATTTATTCTTTGTCTCTTTATTTTACTTTTTAAATCATCGGTGGATAAACTTATCGTCAGTTGAGCAACAGCCAGTGGAAATGCCACTATGACATTTAATTGAGATAATTAAATTTATTTTTGTCTCTTTATTTCACTTTTTAACTTACCACGGTCAAAATAAAGATATCTTATTAAAACTAAATCAGTGTTCCTACCTCCGTATTTAGTTCCCACTTCTTTCTTCAGAACATTTCGGGACTCGGCTGCTGAAATGTTACTCTTGAGCTTAAAGGGCTGAAAAGAGAAGTTGCCTAACAGACGAAATTCTGCAACAAGAGCCTTCGTCAACAAGACACAGTAGTCTTCCCGGGCAATTTGTGGTCGAGCTAGCTCCTCGTACGTTATTAACACATTTTGCCAGTCAAAACGTCTGAAGATGGCCAACAAGAAGGAAGTAACACCATTGAACGAAAGACCAGTTCGGGTCAACAAGTAAAATTCTTTGTCAAACGTGGACTTATCGAAGCCATAGTCTCGAGCCAGAGCACCTGCGGTTAGCATTGGCACATTCCAAAACTTCAGTAGCCGTGCGATAGGTGCTATGACGTAGTCACAATATGGGCCAAAGAAAACATGCAAGCGTTGCTCGGTAAAAGCCCTAAAAGCTTGCATCGGACCATCTGAGGTACTACATTTGGTGTCTCTGTATTTCACCTGCCATTTCCATTCCGGTAACGTCCCTTGATCTTGTATCTTTTGGATGGCTAGTTCAATTGCAGGCCCAACTCGAGGGATCGCTCCCAAGTATAGGGAATCATTAGGCAGAAGCACACTTACTCTTACAGTATCATTTGACCAATGGTCATATGTGACTAGATAATCGGACAAATCTTCATCGCCCATTACTACTATAGACAGGGATAAAGTGGTCAGCACTGCCAGTCCGAATGTCCGACTTCTGAATATTTGTATTGAAATGGAAGACCAACATTGACCTCTCACTCTGTATCTCATCCTTAAAAACAAAAAAGAACCAAAGACTCGTGAATTAAACATTTTACACTATAATAAGTCTAAAACAAGCAATAACATAAGCACTAAACAATCACCAGTTTCGCCTAAAAAGACTAGAGATAAAGTAACCCGTATGTTTGGTATGACACCTTCTTTCTGTGGCTGTTTATTCGGAACTCTCCGTCTTGTTCTCTAGCTACACTAGCTTGCAAATTGCGCATGCTCCAAAACTACTCATTCAGGAAGATGATTTCGAGCGACAGCGTTATACGTGCCTGACGTTCTCTCATCACACTCAACAGGCTTCTCTTCGTTATTACTACGCTGAAAACAACACAATCATGTGTCTCTTGCCGCCAACTGAGAGAAAGTCGGCTCGTACTTTTCGCCAGTGTTTGCTTAAAATGTCGAACTTTCTATTATCAATTTGATCTACCAATAAATTTCCACATCCTCAACCTTCGAATTTATTGCTGCTGGTTAAGAAACATTTGTGAAAGTTCAGAATTTCTATTATCTTTTCTCCACATTTCTACTAAAGAACACCTTAACAAATTGTTAAAGAGAAAGTATTTGTATTTTAAACTTAATACAAGATTTCTAATATTATCTGCCGCACAGCAGATAGCCTAATGTGGCTTTCTATGAACTAAACATACATACATTATCTGCCGCCGTTCCTAATTTTGAACTACTGACCAGAGGGAAGACAGTCTGTCACCCGCACCCTACCAATCCACGCTAAAGGAATGACCGTAACACCTATAACGTAATACGGGGAATATTATATTGTATCGAAAGGATTCAAATCTGGCTTGCCAGCTCCGAAATCCAAAGCTCTATCATGAGTTCGCACCCTTTGTTTGAAGTTAAGCACAAAGCTACACAACGGGCTATCTGTGCTCTGTCCACCACGTGTATCGAAACCCAGTTTCTAGTATTGTGAGCCCGCAGACATACCTCTATGACACTGGGGGGGGGGGGGCTATAAAGTAATTGAAATAACCTGAAATGAATTTGGCACAAATAGATAATTTGTTAGTATTCTCAAGTAACTAAACGCTACATTTCTCGTGTCACTCCTGAGGATCATAAATATGTGTACTCACTTCTGCCACATAAAATACAATATAACAAGCGTAGTAAGTTTTGAATTTCGCGCAAAGCTACACGAGGGTTATCTGCGTTAGCTGTCCTTAATTTAACAATGAAAGACTAGAACGAAGGCAGCTAGTCATCACCACCCACCGCTAACGTTTGGGCTATTCTTTTTACCAACGAATAGTGGGATTGATCGAAACATTATAACGCCCTCACGGCTGAAAGAACGTGCATGTTTGACAGGACAGGGATTCGAACCCGCGACCCGTAGATTGATAGTCAAGAGCCCTAACCACCTGGCCATGCTGGGCCACGCAGTAAGTACCAAACACATATGTGTTTATGAGAATATAGATTTTTTTTTTATTTAAGGATATACGTCGACCAAGTTTAGCACTAATATATGTGAAATAATATCACAATAAGGCTGACCATAATTTAAGTCACACCATTCTTTACCGGACCTATACTGGTTTCTAGTAAGAAACTACATCCTAGTAAGAAACTACATCTTGTTTGTGCTATTTCGTCGCTGACGAAGTACAACGGCTGATCAGAAGTCTAGGCTACGACACGCAGAGTTAAAACGCTGATTTACATGAGTTGTTTAACCTTAAAATCACTATGGATCCCCTCAGCTTTTTAAACCGAATTTTCTATGCTGTTTATGTTCCAAGTTGCTTGTAGGTCCATTAATTTGTTGGATTTACAGGGCCTTTAATAGCAAAAGAATCAAACATAAAAGATGAAAATAAAATTGTCAATATTGAAATTCATCTCATCAATTACTCCTTAGATTACCCACGCATTTTACACAGAAAATGATCATTTGCCCATAGTTTTTAAATAAGTAATCTCGTGAAATATTAGATAACTGAACGATGTACGCCATTTTTACCTAATCAGTTTTAGCTAATCGGTTTCCGAATCTTTTTGCTGGGTCCTTGATACTTTGGTACTTTGTTCACAGAGTTCAGAGTTCGAACCCTTCTCCTTTTCCTCTGCAACTTTTTCTACTTTTCAATGTTAGCTTCTAGCTCTATCATTAAATTGCTATGATGTGAATCTGAAGAACTTTGACATTCTGTCTCAGAGTCAGATCGGCAACAGTTCATTATCACTCGTATTTCTTGTACTCGATGACGGCAGTGATCGGAGAGAAGGAATGACACCTGGTTTTAATGTCAGTTAGCTTTTGCAACTAAGCAGTTCAGCTTTTAAGTTTCTTTAAAAATCCCCAGTATTAAAAATGGTACGAATACACAAGACTCTTCTTATTGAATGGATCAAACTTGTATTCTCTTTCACATCTATTAACCCAAATTTGAAGCACCTCTTCATATTTCAAGGGAATTCGAATAAAATTAATTTGTTTTTATCAAGATTAGAACAAAGAGCTACAGCAGGCCTACGATCACCTGTCATGATTATATCTTCAAGGGAAATCGAATAAAATTAACGCTACTGTTTTTATCAAGATTAAAACAAAGAGCTACAGCAGGCCTACGATCACCTGTCATTATTACACTTTTTTTTTTTTTAGCAAAGACAAACGAAAATTGGACCGGAAGCAATGACAGGTTTCATGATTTCACCTCAAATGTTTCAACAGGGGTGCACGGCACTCGGTACGTGAACAGGCACAGGCGTAGCATGTCGCGAGCTACGAGTCGCGTAACAGGAACTTAGAATAAGTCTCATAATGTAACAGTGTTGCTTCTGGATTATAAATATTAAACAAATTATTTATGATTAACGACATCTTTTTGTTACATTCAGCTAATTATTTAGATTTCTTATTTAGTCTTTATCGTCAGATTATTTTATGATATAGTTTTGAAATGTAAAGGTCCTGGGCCTTGGATTCAGTATAATATACTGAGAAAAGTTTACGATCTGTTACAATATGCACTGTAGCAAAACTTATGTTAAAAAGAATACAACTTATGCACCTGCGGAACAAAATCATTGTGGGTCAACAAAACAGAGCACAAATACGTTAATGAATGTACAACGATCTCTGTGTTTAAATCAATATTCCCAATAGGACTTCACAACACAACAATGTATTTAAATAAACAAAATTTCAAACTGATAGCCGCACATCATTTGTGTTCTTAGAACACAAAAACAAATTGCGTGTTAATATCTCTACAGCATTCGGTTGTGGTATAAATCACACAAGTCTGTGTTTGAGGAACACAGTTGTGTTGTTGTGCTACTAAGAAGTTTTATACAAATGTGTCTTTTTCTCCACAAATTATAACACTTTTATTGTGTTTAAGGCACCTTAAGGCCAAAGCATACACATTACACAGATAAAGGAAATCAGAATAAGAATTGTGTTTGAGACGTACGTAGTATCTTTTATTGTGTTTTAAGGCACCTTAAGACCAAAGCATACACATTACACAGATAAAGGATATCAGAATAAGAATTGTGTTTGAGACGTACGTAGTATCTTTTATTGTGTTTTAAAACACCTTAAGACCAAAGCATAACATTACACAGATAAAGGAAATCAGAATAAGAATTGTGTTTGAGACGTACGTAGTATCTTTTATTGTGTTTTAAGGCACCTTAAGACCAAAGCATACACATTACACAGATAAAGGAAATCAGAAAAATTAGTGTTTACGACGTACATAGTATCTTTTAAAACAACACTCTTTGCCGGGGTTAGCTCTATGATAAACACATTTATTTCTTCCTAAGTATATATGGATATCATAAGAATATCGTGGTATGTTGATTCTAGAGTTAACTTACTGCATTGATTAACAAAACAGACTCTTAGAAAGTTTCGTAAACTAATTAAAAACATTTCCTAAAACTTCAAACTTGAAGTTCTTAGTGTAGATAATCACACATCTTTGAAACATATACGTGATTATAAACATACATACACACACACACACACACACATATATATATATATATATTACGAATTTCGTAAAGCATTTGGTAATTGTGAAAGGCAGGTAAAAGAAGGTGCTGGTGTTTATGGAAGAAATGACACTTTGTAAACGAAACAGACGTGCCGAAAATCCCCTGGGTAAAACAAGAACAGATATGAGCAGGAGATGTGTTTAAGAGGCAATTATATTTTTGTTTTATGGAACATTTAATGCTTGTGTAAATATCTCAAGGATTCTAAAATCAAATACGAAGAGTGATTAACAATTTGAGGCCAGGATACATCTTTAGTAAGCATATTTCCAGTAACAGTTTCTTTATCAAGTATTCTCAATAGCCCGCAATAGGGAATAGAATGAGAGCTTTTTCATCGCATTTATGTATGAAAATAATTATCATTATACTTTCGCGGTTACATTGGTGCATATATTTAGTTTTAGTGTTCTTTGATGTGCTAATTCTTTTCTGTTGTGTATTAAGAAGATATCGTAAAATCCCTATGTGAATCTGCTGTGTCATTCCAATTTCTTATATACTTAGGTGCTTATCGTGCCTCAGTCAACGAATTTTAAACTTCTTATATATTTTTAATAACTAGTTAGGAATCATATTTACTTCTTTTATTGATATTTATGAAAAATACCTCAGAGAAAACCAAACCTATCAATATATCACTTGAGCATGAGCTGCTCGGTTATGCATCATATAACCAAACTTATATAACAGAAACTGAGGAGGAAAATAAGGGTAAAACGTGATGAATTAGCGAGCTAAGATTTAGGCCACTAATGGTTAACTGACTCAACTAAGAAAGGGAATATGTTTTAGTGATTAGAATACGTTTGATTGATACGAGCCACACCCTTGTTCTC